AATTTCTAAATCCTAAATCCAGTAGTCAACTGGAAGTCTATCACCAAGTAATAAGAAATTAATAAAATTTCACCTATACTCAAACTACTTTCAGCAAACCACGTACCCTTCCTTACACTCCTTTTCAAAAAATGTCCATTTTCACCATATTTCTTGCACCGCCATTTAAACTTGTAATATCCTTCTTTCACACAATCTCAACTTATTATTATTATCAGATAAACGCATTAAAAATTTAGAATTCACTTTACATAGCGCCATGCAATCCGAAAATTAATCAACATTATTTCACACAACACACAATGAAGCTTTTCCAAATTAATCCCCTTTTCCGATTAAAGAACTGTAATTTGTCCATTAATGTCACGTTTCACACAACACAGAATATAGCTAAATACGAAATTTCCAGATTTCCCCCTTTTCCGATTAAACTGTAATTCCTCCATTAATGTCACGACATATCTCATGATCTCTCATTTCCCTCACACAAAATAATGCGTAATCGGAACTGAGTGCTTCTCACATTATTTCCAAAGTCCTAGGTAGTAACCTTTATCGCCTCCAAAATATCGCCAAACTACCAGTTACCATATTCCAAAGATCAGCTTTCTTCAGATTTATTTATTTAATCTTTATGTTTAGTTTCTGAGGTACTTTTCAGTTTCACTGGCGCAAATCTCGCCAAGCAGACTTAGTTGACGACAACATACAATATACACATAAAAAATGTAAACATACGTTAGTTCTAAGAATTTTTTATTTTGAAGGCACAAACATTTTAATATCATTTAAAATTTTGTAAAAAGACAATAAATAAAGACGATAAATTTGCAAAAAGACATTAATTTAAGAACTTACTATGCTTTCATGGTAGAACATTCTGACTCACCGTTTCATATCACGTGATCCCAAGTGATCTCATCTCGCGTAAACTACGCTACAAAAACCTCAGTAATTATCTACATTAATTTCAAGTTAAATCTTAATGTGGAATGCGAGTTTAAATGCAAGAATTATTTCAATTCGTACTAATAGCTTACTCAGAAATTATGTAAAACCGCTGTGCTTTACTTCGCTACTGCATTCTCATTAGAATTGATGAATTTAACCCTTCATTTTGCCTTCGGGTGAGTGGTGGATTGCAGTCTAATTGTCTTAATTACCGCGAATGGTCTTGGGGCATAAATTTTAATTATCTTGTAAAAATTCTATGTAGTTGTATGCCAGTATTGAAAGAAACAATCTGATAAGAAATGGCTGCGACTTGTTTTGAAAATGAGGCGGTAAACGTTGGCAGCGAAGATATTCCGTTTGGCATCAGTTGTACCATTGTTGGCGACTTTATTGTTTGCGGCGGCAAAACGGGAAAAGTACCATTTCTAAATGTATTTTTAATTTCGCAGGTTTCATGCTTTCCATTTGCCAAGTTTTCACTGCATTTAACACACAATAGATATTCTTTTTCCATTGATAATGCAACATGTAAATCAGTATAAACTCTTGATATTTACTCAATTTTTTTATTTTTAGAAGTAGAAAGAGAGCCAATGGTTACATTTTTGTTTGCATTTTCATTAATAGTTTTTCTCCAAGTTTATTTGATATTGGTGCATCCATCCCATTTCTCTTACAAGAGATTTTGGACCATTTAACCATCATGAACAAAATTGCAACGAAAACAAAATTGTTTTTATTATCCTTTGAGACACTACTGAATTTTCCAATGCTTAGGAAATGTTATGTGCTTACTTGACAACAAATTTGATTAGAAATAAGAAACATAGTTTATAAATGATGCGTATTACAATTACAAATTGCATGCAAGACACTACTAAGACAGCCGAAAAAACTAAATCTTAGCTGCGCGTATGCAGTTGCTTTGAAATTTGATTCGAGCTGTTTGGAAATCATCAAACATAACACATAAATCAAGTGGAAAGCAATAAAATCAGAATTAAAATATGGAAATGTTTAATTTAAAATTCCTGGCAAATGTTAAATAACATCCAAAATTCTCTTCAAATTCCGTATATCTTTTATTGTCAAATAAATTTCTTTGAATTTGGTGACTCCCCACAAATTTGTTCATGACTCCCAGGTTAAAATTTTGTTAAAAAAACAATACAAGTTATCAATTGCATTTTGAAGGGAGGAAAAAAATGATTTCAGGCTTGTCTTCAACAGAACAGCATGCAATGAAGTATTTTCAAATTTACGGGAAAGTACGACTTATGTGAAAATTGATAAACATTGGCTGTCCAATGTGAAAAGTGAATTACGATTTAATATGTTATGTTCATAGCTTGTGTATTTTGATTATCTAACTAAATACAGAATGATCCGTTCCTTCAAACTTCTGCTGGAATAACTGCTAGAATATCTATCCCATTTCAGATGAACAGAAAGCAAGTGTTGTATTCTTATTCAACAATTACAATACTCTTGCATAATACTTACAAGGAATGAAATTGGTTATTTAACTAAAGTGCAGTCAATTTTATTTCTTATTTATATGAATGATGTATCACACAATGCTGTGTAGGCTGGTGACCTAGCGATGATGACTCAAAATGCATCTCTGCATTCAGGCATACACTCCTTACGAAAATATAACCATGCACTGGAGTCCTAGCTTCGGCAGGTACATTTTGTTGTGCTATGCAATCTCTGTGGGTCCTAAATTCCAAAAATTTTGCTACTTGATATTTCTGTAAATTCCAAAATTGCACATCTGCCATAACTGCACTTGCTGTGACCTCAGTTAATCCAATATTCCAACAAAAGGAAATATTGTAACGTTATTTTAGACAAGACTTTCTTAAACTGTAGATCGCAACCCCTATCTACAGGAAGGGGGTCGTAAAAAATTTTAGTAGTTTTGGTATTTCTTAAACTTAATAGAATAATTTTACAATTACCCAATATTTTTACACAATGTATCTGAAAATAGATAAAGATAAGACAATACAGACAAAAAAAAAAAAAAAAAAAAAGTTTCAACGCATTCTGTTTATAATATATAAATATTCATTTTACTTGCTTTGCACATGACGCTGTCATTTCGTCTGTTACTTAATTAAAATTTCCACTTTGTTCGATGTCTTAAAATGAGAAATTAAAGATATCTTCCATTAAAAAAATTTTACTAGTCTAAACAGGATTTTATCAAGTTAATTTGAATTTCAATTTTTATTCTTTCCGAAAAATTGGTTCTAAATTTCTTTCTTTATATATTTACTGATCAATTTTTAACAGCATAATGCACAAAAATTTTTGGAAGGATTATAAACTTTCCTTTTAAAAAATTATTTGTATATACATAGTCCAAACACATCTGTATACAGTGGAATATGTTTAACATGAAAACGCTTAAGGCAAAATATCGGTTAACACGAAATAATGCAATGGTCTCGACAACCTACTATGTATTTTCATGCATTTTGTTTCTCTTAACACGAAAAGATATCCTTTCTGGAAATGAACAAAATACAGAAAACACTGGCATCACTAGCGAGATTTAAATGGGGTGTGAAATGAAAGAGAGGTGGTTTCACATGTTTCGTAGAAAAGAGGCTAATTTGGCTTTGAATCCCCGATCTGCGCCGAGCAGTTTGTTTCTACCTACTTCCTTCCCGTCTACAACGCCACAAACTCTCATCTTACAGTAGCTTGAATCATGTGATATATGGCGGTGAGTAAAATATGAGTTGCTCTAGTTACTGATGATCAGCGCCCAGGGATGAAAAACAATAAGAATGTTTTTATGATTTTAGACTAGTAGTTTATTCTTACATTCACTTATTACAATATTTCATTTTTTATATGCTCGGCTATCCAAAATTTCAAGAGCTTTCCGGATATTTTTTTTGTCGAGTTTTTACTATACATACATTTCAGCATTTACATCGTCAAAATTACACAGACACATACTTGAAGTGAATTTACTTTTACAGCTAAACACAGGAACTGGAAAACAAAAAAGTACTTATTCGGAGATTGTATTTCTTTTTCGTTCATGAAAATCAAAGTTCATTACACAAACATGCATTCACACTGCACAAGCATGTATGGAAATTCTTAATACATTTAGTAATCCTGAAATTGAAATTTAGTAAATAATCAGAAAATATTTTAATGTATAACAAATGAATAGTAAGTAAGTTTTAGTTAGTAGCTTTTATAAAACAGAGCATAATAACACAGTTACAAAGATATTTAATGTTATAAAGTTAGGTAATTTAGTAAATTTCAGTTGTTCATCAAAGCAATGAATTATGAAGTTCCTTGTGTATCTTTATAAATGAACTTTATTGCTGTTTTAAGCAACTTGAAACAACTGTTCAAGTTATTTTAATAATTTTGAAATATATACACTAAAAGAAACAATAAAATGTATTAATCTATTTGTCAAACTTGATTTTGGCACGAAAGTCTGCAGAATGCTTCGTAGTTTTTAAGCACATAGAGGCACTGCAATTCTTATTATTCCTTGATCTGAAGTTTTCTGCAATTTTTTTTTTTTTTTTATTTAAATTGCTGTATTGGCACACATATAATTTTTGTATAGTGGCTTCAGATGTGGATAAGTTTTTCAAACACTTTCGTTTATTTTACTGGCGCGTCGCTGAATTTTGCGATGAAATGCAGCACATTTATTGCCGAGTATCACCTTCCAGACTTTTCATACTGTTAATGTATACATCAGCAGTGAATTATTCTCCTCTTTCCTCAAATACACTACGGCGTTAAACAATAACCATTCACTAAAGATTTTGCGTAAATTTCCACTCATAATAATTTAAATTGCGAAAATCTCACAATTAGCACCTAAACACACTATTCAGGAGCACAATTCTTTCGAAAGCGCACCGTAGTAGTCAAAAGTGGGGTAGGCGTCTTGCCAAACTAGTCGATATTTCCGTGACGTCAAAAATTTGAAATGTCAAAAATTCGAAAAGTGGGGTAGGGTTTGGAAATACGCGTCCGTAGAAGGTTCTTTCTACGGACCTTGACTCACTTTTCGGACCTGAACTTGATTTTTCTCCCACCTGAGCAGAAAGACTTAGCGGGTGCAAAAGAAGACATCTGTCTTCTTTGTCTGTCTGTCTAATCGTGGACGCGGTCCCCAGTAGCGCATTTTCTGCTAAGTATTTATCTTTTAGGTTTCATTTAATTGTATATTGACATCTTTATTTTCAGACGGATCGTAAATATATCTCGTTAGTATGAGCTATTTTTAATCCTTCGATAGGTTTAATGCGTACTGTATTGTATCAAAAATAAGCTATGTTTTAATATGTTTACGTTTAGTTGTTAAAAGTCCCACTGTCAATATTTGCATCAAATACCATAAATGGAAGTCCATTTCAGATTGTATGCTATCAGTTATACTATGGATATGTTGTCAATATGATGTATTGGATTTGGTATTTTATTTGATTGAGCATTTTCTCCACATTTCGTTTTTTAAGCGCTCACTTTTTGAGATGCTTAACGATTTGATTCTCTGTTCTTCAGAACATTTTTTTTTTTTTTTTTTTTTTTTACCACGAGTTACGTAATTTCGCGTAATTTTTTGGACACTTTAAAAGTGATAAATGATATTAATTTAATACAACTGAAAGTATTTGTATTCGTGATTTCGTGATTAAGTTATAATAATCAATTATTCCCATGGATTTATTGTTAAATAAAATTTTTTTGTCATTTGAAAACGTGTGACTTCCTGAATATTTAGAGTTCAAGAACTTAGTAGTTAAAAAATAACTTCAAATGAAAGTTGGTAGTAATGATATAATAATATATGAATTTTTTTATATTAAATTTCTAATAAATTTATAGGTCTATATAACTGAGTAATTAGCATTTTCCATATGGTCTGTGCAGTCTTTGTGTTTTCAATAAGAGTAGAGGCAGTTTAGTAATTTTAATTTTTTAGTTTTTGTGTAATATTTTGTAACATTTTGCAACTTAACCAAACCAGCTTAAAAGAGCAATAAACATATTTGCTATACTATATAAATTTTATTAATTTATTTATGCACATTGAATCTTAAAAAAAGAAAAAAAAATTATAGCAGAATGCAGGAACCAAGAGAAGATGGAGATGGAGAAGAAAGTACAGCAACTGCTGCTCCTTGGAAAGCAAATGAGGAGTATTTGAAAGTTCTCACTGGAATGGGCATCAGCCGTGTTGCAGCTGAGAAGGTATATTCAATAACTAAACTTAAAGCAATTCTAAAATTAAAGACTAAAGATGTATTGTTTATTATTAATTAAAAAGCTGCAATTCTTGAAAATTATCTTCATTTCCTAGGAAAGTAATGAAGATGAGGTTAAATTTCTAAAAAATCTCTTGCTAGTCATTTTAAAAAAAGAAAAGTAGATTTTGCAGTCTTGTCAGGAACACTGTTATTATTATTATTACTATTATTTTTGTTTATACATGTATTATTATTTGCCAAGGAACTGATTATATTTAATATAGCTTGTATTTTATTAGCAGGGTTTGGGTTATTTAACTATGGCAAAGCACTCGAAGTCTGTCTGCCTATGGGAAGGGATACCTTTGTGGAGAACTTTCTAAGGGAAACTGGCTCATATATATATTACACATGGGAAAAACCATGAAAAGATTTGAACCTTGGATCGAACTACCAGTGTTCAGTGACCGCTTAGCCGCTGGTGGACCCATTTTATTAACAGATGCATAGTCCTTAAATGCACTGCTATAGTTTGATTTTTTTTTTTTTTTTTTTTTTTTTTTTTTTGTGGGAGAAGGGGGTAGCTGGGATAGAAATGCATAACTTGTAATATGTTATAACTAAGTAGTTAATAGATAACTTATAGAACGAAAGTTATATGTAGTTACTGGTAGAAGAAAGGAAGTAGTAATTTAAACTTTACATATGCAATGCATTTAAAGTTACCATAATGTGTATGATAAACACAGGGCAGGTTTGGATTATTCGATTGCGGCAAAGCACTTGAGGGCTAGCTGCCTAAGGGGACAGATGCCATCGTGGCGACTTTCTAAGGAAAACTAGCTCATATCCATGTTACACATGAGGAAAATTGCCATGCAGCTAGCCAATTTACCTGGAATCAAACCCAGGTCGAACTTCCACTATTCAGTGACTTAACTGCTCTGCCGTTGGTGGGCAGGACGCTGCCCAGATTGAGAACTTTCTAGGGAAACTGGCTCAAGTACTAATGTTGAATAGCTGAAAGGATTTTTGGTAAAAATATATTTCAGGTTGCCCCTTAGCGAAAATTTGCAATTTTGGGTGATTGGCCAACAAGGCACAATTTCAAGATGGCTGCTACATGAAAACAAAATAACAAGTCAAAGAATTGCATAAACTTAGTGTCCATGTACACATTGAACAATTTTCACATTAAAAAAAAATCAGAGAATTACACAAACTTGGCATTGCGAACTCCCTCGACTTTGTCCATTTACACATTGATCTATTTTCACTTAAAAAAAGTCCTGAGAATGAAAACGTCATGTAATGTTAAAACAATGACGTCATGTAATGTTTACTCACCATCAAAATTGAACAAAATTTATAGGCAATCAAAGCTCAGTAAACTGCATTTTAAATCACACAATGAAATAACATAGAAAAGGAAATACAGTCAAAAGTCGTTAATTTGGACACCCATAACCTGGAATGATCTATAATCCGGACCTCAAAGCTAAAATCTTTCTGCACATGCGCCGCATTGACGCATGAGCATAGGCGTTTTACTCGTGCGCCCAAGACATTTACGACTGCGCATATGCGTCTGCGCAAATGCAGAATACGTTTTCGCGTGCACGTTTAATGTATAACGGACAGTATAAGCTAAAATTATCTAATTATCTATTTCAGTTAATGTTAATGATTGCGTTGTTCCTTAATCTTCGAATTGGATCCGGCTTATTATTTTTTGCAGACTGTAAGAGCAATTTTCTAAAGTAAGCTTGAACTTTCGATTATGTCAAATAGAATTTCCGATGCTGGAGCTCCCAAAGGATCTAGAAAACAAAAGTATGTTTCGATGTCCATCAAACAAAAAACGAATTGCTACAAAAAATGGATAAAGGCATATTCTTTGTTTATCTAACCGTTCCGAAATCTGTTTATCAATTTCACGCTGCTCTGCGTGGGGGGGGGGGACGTCGCGGCACGCAATGAACTGGTAGTTGATTTGTCAACACTATCGTTATCTTCAGGGCAGATGTTTTTATTTTATTCGGCTTATAATTCCTTATTAAATGCAGTATTTAATTTCGATGTACTTCATCTTTGATATGATTTAAATCAAATTCCTCGTCATTATAAATATCACGAATACAAATCAAATAGTTTTCTGGTTGCAATTTTCTAATTTCGGCTATGCGTAAGGTATGCTTTACGCATCCGCACGTTAAAAGAAATGTAATAAAGTAAACAAATAAATATTAGGCTTCTTTTTTGGTAAATTTTGATACCCTTTAGATCATAATTGCTCATTATTTTATAAATTACAGTTTCATATTTTTAATTTTATAATTTCTGCATGCCATCTTACCAGATTTAAACTGATGATCTATAATCCGGAAAAATCGATAATCCGGAATCGCCGAAGTCCCGACGAGTCCGGATTAAAGACTTTTGACTGTACATGTTATTGCATATATGCAGTACAAAAAAGGAAATATCAACTTGCCATATTTAGAAATTTCTGTGTCTTCAGTCTGTAGTGCACAAAATTCCTTAACAGCATCCAAAAATGTTCTAAAATTATTCGAACTAGAATATGCATATTTCTGTCACCACATAAATTCACAAAAGTATCCTCTGTAGTGCCAGACTGTCGGTGGGATTTCTTGCATTAACTTTCTTGCGACAAACCATTTCAAAGCCATCTGAACAATCTTTGTGTTCGACCATGTGCATTTCCTTTATGCAAACAGGACCCTTATAACACTAATAAGTAAACCTTCATTTACACACCATTCAATTAATGCTTTTGGAACTACTGTTATATACGCCCTCGTTTGGTGAGAAACTCCATGGGGCCATATTACTATCTAAAATTTTTGTCTACATTTCGAACTTTAAGCCTAAATTGTCTCCAAAACTGCACGTGCGAAAACCATGTTTTGAACACACAATTTAAGCTAAAAATCCGAAACAGAAACAGAAAATTTAAATAAAAACATAAAGTTTTTAACAAAAAATACTTGACAAGAATCCATGTAGACAGGATATGTTCTAACTTAAAAAAAAAAAATCACAGAATTGCACAATCTTTGCAGCGAAGGAATCTATGAACTACGCACACCTAGCTTAAATAAATTAACATAACAACAATAAATTTCAAGAATACCATGTACACAGCGTTCTGGTTAAACTTTAAAAAAAAATATATATATATATATATATACGAATTGCATAATCTAAGCATGAAGGAATGTACGAACTATGTACACCTCGCTTTAATGAATTAACATAACAGCAAAAAATTTCAAGAATGCCATGTATGCAGAGTTCTGTTTAAACTTTAAAAAACGTCTATGAATTGTGTAATCTAGGCATAGCACAATCAACAAAATAAACTAAAATAACTAAAATAAATTTAAAAAAAACAATAACAACAGAAATTCATACTAAAAATCAATGAACATAACATTCTACGAAATAAGAATAAAATAAAATGCATTTATCGTGAATGAATGCTTCTTCGAACAGCAGAAATACTAATTTAAAACATCACCAAAACAATTTCACTTCAAATTTGTTAAAAGCATCTTCTCCCATTTCAAAACAACGATGGAAAAATAGTAAATGTTCAAAACCTTCTTCTAAATACTTGTAGAATTTCAAACTACCAAAAAAAATAGTTGCACCAGGCATGCGACTAAAATTTTGCCAACACGTCTTTCATTGCATCATAAATCACTTAAATACTACACACCACATGAACCAACTAGCAACTGAAACCATTACAGCAAAATCCAAGTTTCCACATAAAAAGGGATGCCATAGAAACCAACATCACAGAACACACAATCTCGCCAAAAACCAGCGCACACAACACATATCGCTGCATTTGGCGACTTGAGGGCACATATAAGAGTAGTACCATGCTTTTTTTCCCTTTCATTCCAAATTGTACAGAAACTTCAGATTAATCCCATCACATACAGCTATTTTATATGTGCAGCACAAAATAAGCAATGTACTTCCTGACATCCAACGCAGAAATAAGCCCTTACAAATATTTTCTCATCAGTCAAATTCACTGCAATCACGTAACCAATCACGTCATAATAGTGTTTCCATAACATTCAACTACTCAGGTTACTATAAATGAAACAACAACTTGGAGAGAATCCAAGGAGCAACCTGAACTATAGACTAAACAAAGTGGGTCTGGATTTCTGGGCTGCTCACATAGACCATTTGAGTATTGACTGGAGCGCACAACTGTCTAGGACAAGCATCTCCTGAGGCTCAAATGCATCATATCGGGAGTTCATTAAGAGATGTAAGAAGCAAACAGTGCTAAACAAGGGCTAGTTGCATAATGTTGCTAAGAAACGCAAAGGAATGGTATTTGCAGATAGTGCCTAAACAAGACATTCCAGAAATGGGCATTGCAAGTGAACATTTTCCCGCCAGTCATAGTCACTGCCAGTCACGCAACCACTCACGTCATAATAGTATTTCCATAACATTCAACTACTCAGGTTACCAGAACTGAAACAACAATTTGATAATAAATGAAACAACTTGGCAGTAATCCAAGAGGCACCCTAGAATATAGATAAACCGGATTTTTTTTACTTTTTATTGAAGTATAGTTAATTCATTTGTACAGTCAAAGTAGTAATTAAAAGAAGCTGCTAATTTCTTTATCGTTTTTTAATTGCTAAGTTTAAATGAAAGTCCTTTTTCAAATACAGCACAAAGTCTTTAATCCAGACTCGTCGGGACTTCCGCGATTCCGGATTAGGGGTTTTTCCGGATTATAGATCATCAATTTAAATCTGGTAAGATGGCATGCAGAAATTATAAAATTAAAAATATGAAACCGTAATTTATGAAATAAAGAGCAATTATGATCTAAAGGGTATCAAAATTGACAAAAAAAAGCTTAATATTTATTTGTTTACTTTATTAAACATTTCTTTCAATGTAAGTTGTTTAAGTTGCTTTGTTTTATGTGCTAATACTTTCTCTTTAATTCTATAAACAGACATAATTTCTTGTTCAGTTACAAAGTTCCTCTGTTCAAGTCCTGTGCTGTGCCGACACTACCGACTAACTTGTTACTAACCTCTTTGTCACTTTCTTCCTACCTTTATCCATTTTATGCAGCAATTCCACTTTTTTTTTTTGTGGACATTGAAACATGCTTTCGCTTTGTAGATCCTTTGGCAGCTCCAGAATCGGAAACTCTTTTTGACATAATCGAAAGTTCAAGCTTACTTTTTATAAAATTGCTCTAACAGTCTGCAAAAAATAAACTGGATCCAATTAGAAGATTAAGGAACAACACAATCTGCAACATTAACTGAAATAGATAATTAGATAATTTTAGCCTAACTTATACTGTCCGTTATATATTAAACACACATGCATAAACGTATTATGTGCATGCACAGAAAGTTTGTAGTTTGAGGTCCGGATTATAGATCATTTCGGATTATGGACATCCGGATTAAAGACTTTGTACTGTAATGAATACCTGATACCACTAATTTCACTTACAGTAACCATTTTAATATTCTGCAAACGGTTTTGTAATTTTGATGTCTATTTTTTAATCTTCAGTAAATTTGAAATTTCATTTCAATTTAATATTTTCATTTTTATATTTAAAATATTAAAAATTTTTAGAAAGTATATTTTGAAGCTAGTGATAATATGTAGACACAACTTTACATGAGTGTTTTGGCTTTCATGATAATTTTACGTTTTCTTTTACATTTTTATATTATTTCTACACGTCTACATTTATATCATTACTTCTCAAGAATATATGTGGCCAAATTGATAAAATTACAAAATATAAGTCAACTAGAACTTTATTCTTAATTTTTGAATAGGCCGATACAATTTTTTTTCTGATATGTAATGCAAATACAGGTCAAATTGTCATTAAAAATGTTTTGCAATTCATACCTTATATGCAGATGGCACTTGCCTGTTGTAATTTAATAACCAGAGAATGTGACTTAAATAACCTATCATTTAATTCTAAATAATTAATAGCTTTACATAAGAAAGAAATCTGAAAATTCTTTTATCAGAACTAGCTATTTTTCTCAGAAGCAATGAGCTTATCAGAAAAGTTATTCAAAAAGAATATTGGTGCTAAAAAATATAGTGATATTGTTATCTAAATTATAAATGTCCCGAAATATGTCAAGTTATAAGGTATAAAAAAATAAAGTTTTTTTTTTTAAATGCTTCCTTTTGATTAATCTTCCTATTGGCCAAGTATTTGATACCAAAATCCTCTAGTTTTGAGAAGGGCAATAAGTTACAGGTATTGCCTTGATTATAATTTCAAAATGACCCTCTAAATTTCACCTTTACTATTTTCTTCCAATATATTTAAGCCCACCAGTGGCAGAGCGGTAAAGGCGCTGAATACTGGTAGTTTGGACCGAGGTTCGAATTCCACGAATGGGCTGGCTGCATGGGCGTTTTCGTGGTTTTTCCCATGTGTAACATGTTTAGCCAGTTTCCCTTAGAAAGTCCTCCACGAAGGCATCCCTCCCTTTAGGCAGATAGCCCTCGTGTGCTTTGTAATTGAATAATCCATAACTCCAATATATTTAATCATCTGGACATATTTTAAGATACATATCTGTGTATAAAAAATACTAGTTGATTTATTAATCTAAATTCTGTGTTTTATGCTAGAAATGTGGGATATTTTGTATTCAGCTTTTTATAATTGTTCATTCTGGGAAAATGTAGTTTTATATTTAGCATATCCATAATGAGTTTTTGTTTTTTAAAAAAATTGTGCTTATTTGAGAAAGTTGTGTAACAATAAGATGTGGTGGATTGATGTATTAATAGAACTGTGTGTGGTGGTATTATTTATGTCTTTCAAGAAAGAGCTTCAACACTGTCTTTTATATTTTATGAGTTAACAATCTTAAGCTGAAAATATCTGTATGTATGATATTGTAATAGAGTATGTCTCCAAATTAATACATTATCAATATTTAAATAAATATAAAAGAGTTTTCTATAAATTTTGTTATTTTAAGGAAGTATAAATACTAAAAATAAATGTATTAGCTTATCAATTAGATTTGAATTTATATCAAAAATACCTTTTGAAAAGTGTACTTTTGTTTAAGATGTACTGTATCTACTTTTATAATGTAAGAAAATTCCATTGAGTCTCACTATTATTACAGATTTAATTTAAAATGTATAAAAATTACTCAGGTGTCTGCACCAGTTTTGCTGAGTGTTAAATTCCTTCTGTTTTGTTGATGTATATAATTACTTCTTCCATGCATTATGTATTTCAATTAATGTGTGCTTTTTTATTTAGGCTTTATTCTATACAGACAACAGATCTCCTGATTTAGCAGCTGCTTGGATATTTGAAAATTCAGAAGCAGATTTAGAAACATCATTAGAAGTAAGCTCATCAAGCTGAATTTTTAAATGCATCTTTGCCATTCTAATTCATTTCAGATATGTGTCAAATGGTTGCAGTTTTAATGCAGAGTGTGTGCTTGTATGAAAACAAAATACGTATATGTGTGAAGGCTCTTTTTTAAATATTTGTGTTTTTTTAAAATACAGTCAAAAGTCGTTAATTCGGACCTCAAAGCTAGAAACTTACTGCGCATGCATCGATGCGACGCATGCGCAGTAAGACCTTTACGGCTGTGAATATGCGTGGGTGCATGCGCATAATACGTTTACGCATGTGCGTTTAATGTATAACAGACGATATAAGCTAAGCTAAAATTATCTAATTCAGGTAATGTTGCAGATTGCAGTGTTCCTTAATCTTCGAATTGGATCCGGCTTATTATTTTTTGCAGACTGTTAGAGCAATTTTATAAAAGTAAGCTTGAACTTTCGATTATGTCAAAAAGAATTTCCGATATATATTTACTAATAAGTAAAGGATCTACAAAGCGAAAGTATGTTTCTAAGTCCATTAAACAAAAAGTGGAATTGCTGCAAAAAATGGATAAAGGCATATCCTTTGTTTCTCTAACCATTCCGAAATCTGTTTATAAATTTCATGCTGCTCTGTGGTGGGGGCGGGGGAGGGGGGAACGCCGCAGCGCGCAATGAATTGGAAGTTGATCTGTCAGCACTATCCTTATCTTCAGAGTACATGTTTTTATTTTATTTAGCTTATAATTCCTTACTAAATGCAGTATTTCATCTCAATGTACTCCGTCTTTGATATGATTTAAATCAAATTCCTTGTCATTATAATTCGCTTCCGATAGTGAAGAAAGTGACACAGAGGTTATTGAAAACGAAAAAATTTCGATTGACAAATTAGTCGGTATTTCGACACAGCAATTATAGGACTTGAACAGCGGAACTTTGTAACTGAACAAGAAATTATGTCTGTTTAATAGAATTAAAGAGAAGTATTATCACATGAAACGAAGCAAAAACTTAAACAACTTACATTAAAAGAAATGTTTAATAAAGTAAACAAATAAATATTAAGCTTTTTCTTTTTGCAAATTTTGATACCCTTTAGATCATAATTGTTCTTTATTTCATAAATTGCGGTTTCATATTTTTAATTTTATAATTTCTGCATGCCATCTTACTAGATTTAAAGTGATGATCTATAATACGGAAAAATCGATAATCTGGAATCGCCAAAGTCCCGACGAGTCCAGATTAATGACTTTTGACTGTATGCCTATTTTTTCGCTTTTTAGGCATTCAGTATTTTATTTATTTATTTATTTTGGTGTGTTCATGTGTAAACTTTAGTTTCGCACTTGATAGAATGTGGTTAATTTGATATATATAGATACATTGGATACTTCCAAAATTCTAAGAATTGAGCTCTAGTTCAATTCCTAGGAATTAAGGCAACCACTTCAACTAGAAACAAGTCTTCATATCTTTATACAGGTATCCCGTGCAATAATGTTTAGTCCAAGTCAGTTGTTTGACTAATTCAGGTACATTTTTGTAGCACTATTTTTGCGAACATGGAAGATGGAAAGAGCAGTCTTTTTATGAAAAGAGGGTGGGAAAACTTCAGAAAGTGTTCAACCTCTGTGAGGCTATTTCCATGTTGTAAGCTGTTTCCATATTTGAACATAAAAAATCTTCACGGTGTGTTTGATTTGAGAATATAATTATGCCATAAGGAGAGAGAGGAGATGCTGAAAAAGTTCTTTGAAGACCAAATAATTTTAAAAATTAGTTTTTCGTTGGGATCAGTTTATTCAATGAAATTGGGATTATTTTGAAAAGCTGCATTGTAATATTGATAAAAATTGACGAAAAAAAAAAAGAAATTGTACTCAAATTTTAAAACTTTGGAAGCAACCTATGCACTTATTTAATCTTCTTCAAAAGATCATATACCATACTTTTTGGAATATTGGGTCATCCGGATAGTTGTACGGTTTTTGGTGATAAATACAAATGAAGCTGTACAACAACATAAAAAAATATCATTGAATAGTATAAACACTATTTTATTCCTTGTCTTCTTGCTGCCTCTCATCTTTTATAAAAAAAAAAAAAAAAAAAAAAAAAAAAAAAAAAGAGGCTCTTTGGATTATGGTATCTTGGCGATTTTTTGGCGAAAATTTGGCGATCAACCCTGCTACTGCAAGCTGCTAAATTTTTTTTGGACGGTATTTTGTTTTCACGAAGTAAAGAGTAAAGTCATTTTTTTTTTTTTTTTTAACTCAACATTTTTTTCCAACAATCTGCTAGCCGAATTACGCTTATGCTAGAACGTATATGGAATCAAAAGTGCTTAATCATGACGAAGATTAGGTGCGAAATTAGGAGAAAGTGCAGAATCGCCCATTCCTTGCCCCGTTTTTAAGAATTGCACATACATGGTATCCATGTACACGTTGACCTATTTTCACTTAAAAAAACATCCCAGAATTGCACAAAAATGGCAATGAGCAAACTCTTGACTTTATCCATGTACACTGTTATAGTCCTAGCTAGTAACCTTTATCACCTTACCAAAATGTCGCCAAACTACCTGTTACCATATTCCAAAGATTAGGTGGTTTATTCACAAAGAAGTTATAGTGCTGTTTGATGTAAAGAAGTAAATTCCAGACCATCATGAGAATTTTGAAGTAAACTGAAGAGATGAAAGGGGGCAAGATTTGATGAATATGGGAGGATGACACAAAGCATCCCAGGCTTAAGTCTTTGTCTGACATTCATTAAAATGTGGGACCGAGCCCTGCCACAATACAAGACAACCCAGTGCTTTGCTTCAATTTCTGCTTTTAAAACTGCCATTTGGGAATAGTATTTTTCGAAATTTATTGTCTAATTTTGTGGCAATAATGGTATAATGTACAATGTGTGATGGTGATTGGCATGATGTACAATTCCTTTGTACTAATTTAGAAGTCAATCAACAAAAATCAGCATTATATTTTCAAAATTTTCACAGGACTAGTTTCGATGGTTTTACTGAATCACCATCCTCAGCTGCAAAACCGCAAATGAACAAGATAGGAAATAATGATTAAATAAGATAAGGAAGCCTGGACAAGAATAAGCAAGTTGTGCCATCTGTTGGTGAAACCAGAACTAAAACATAATTTTTTTGTTCATAATTCTTAAATTCCTTTGTAGTCCCACCATATACAAAACATTATTTTTAGATGCAAAACTCCTCTTGATGAATGTTACTAAAGAAAGATTTTTTTAACTATCCCATGATCTATTTCTTGTAACTTTATTGTATTGTATTCATTTCTTATATCTAGTAATGAGCTGCTTTAAAAAAAAGAGCTTTATTCTTTTCCAGTACTGAATCACATGAGCATTCTGTTCTGCCTGTGGTGTATGGGTTACCCATTAGTTTAATCAGCTTACATATCCAGTCTTCTTCAAAAGATCATGTATTGTACTTTTTGAAATGTGGTACTTACATGTAGGTGCAACCATGTAGGTGTACTTACATGTAGGTTCACTTTAGTAGAAGTCACCAAATTTTCAGATTGCTGCAAACTTTAACCAAGCATATAGTAATTCTATTTTACAAGCAGCATCTCCGTGTTCGTATGCATTTTTTCTTCATTCTTCTTTTCTTTCTTTCTTTTCTTTTCTTTTCTTTTCTTTTTTCTTTTTTTTTTTTTGTATTCCAAGGTCCAACAATTTTTATTGACAGATTGTAATATTTTGTGTCTTAAATTCAATTTTAAAATATATGCATGTAAAATTTGTGTATGGGGAGGGGGAGAAATCTGCATTCAAATTTCTGCAGGAATGCAGTATTTTGTCATAAAATCACTAAAGGGAATAAATGCTTTGAATGTATTCTTAAAAAATCACCATGAAATTTCCACCAGATCCAGGGTTTGTACGGTCCTTAAAAGTCCTTAATTTTGGCCAAAATGAATAAACGGTCCTTAATTTTGCTCATTTGACATTTATCATTTCTAATGATTGCCATTCTAAGTGTGAATTGCATTTCTTTCTCATGAATATGGAAATTAAAATTACATGGCTCTTAACCAATCTGTTGGCGGATTTGCGTTGCTAAACGATAAAAAAAAACAAAACAATTACCTAGCCTAGAACGAAAGTATCGGTGGTCTGATTGGCTATTCACCCAATGTTTTGAAACAGGTGTTATCCATAAATTTAGGCAGATTGTGACGAAAGCGGAAGCCAGAAGTTCTTTAAGAGGCGAAAGTGATGATGAAGGTGCTCGAGGAAAAAAAAAAAAAAAAAAAAAAAGGGTAGGGGGGGGGGATTCTGAAAATATTTGCCAAAATTAGAGCAGTCCCAACCTGGAAGGCCAGAACCCTTCCGACGCCAATAGGAACGAGATGCCTGGAAAGTGCATTTTCAATAAACTGTGGCCTTCATCAAGCTGACTACAAAGACTGGATATTGATGGATGACAAAGCCTTTTAAAGCTAAATGTGCGGTCTTTGTCTGAAACAAATTGAAATTTCTAGGAATGGGAGAGTCAGCGCTGAAAATTCACATGAAAATTCAGTTTTGTTTTATCATTTCAATTTGTTTTTACACGGTTTTGCTTAGCTTAATTTCTGTGTTTGTTTCAATTAAGACATAAATGAATTTTTTATCACCTTCTACGGAGTTTATTCTCTTTTGCACATACTACCGTATTTACGCGAATCTAATGCGCATCGTTTTTGGCCAAATGTAGTACTCAAAATTGGGGTGCGCATTAGATTCGATGGCGCATTAGATTCGAGTGCAAAGTTCGCCGATGACGTCAACCGAATTTAAATCGTAACAATGGATTACTGTATTTCTCGACTACATTTACCGTTACATTTATCGTTGACACATTACTGCATAGAGGATACAAACTGCAGAGTACATAGTCACGAAATGGAGAACAAGCTGAGAAGAATGTCATATGATGCTACTTTCAAACGTAAAGTAATTGTTTATCCTGAAAGAAATGGCAATAGAAAGGCTGGGAGAGAGTTAAACGTAGCTGAGAGCAATGTTCGCTTGTGGCGGCAACAGAAATTGGCACTGTTTGCAACTAAAACTAGTAGAAAGAAATTCACTGCCCCTCGCAAAGGAAGACACCCTAAAATTGAAGAAAACGTTTTGGAATTTGTACGTGAAAGGAGGAAGAATGGACAACCTGTGACTAGCGACACTATAAGAAATAAAGCAAAAGAGGAGGCTGAAGTTCTTGGAAAACCGAAACGAGAGTTTAAAGCTAGCTGTCGATGGATGGATCGGTTTATGAAGCGGATGGGCTTATTTCTAAGACGCCGTACAACAATATGCCAAAAGCTTCCTGCAGATTTTGAGGGAAAACTACTAACATTTTAGCGGTATCTCATCACACTTCGGAAGGAAAAGAATTTTTCAATGGGGCAAATTGGCAACGCTGACGAGATGCCAATTTGGTTGTTTGATATGCCTCGTAACTACACCATTACGGAGAAGGGGACTAAAAAAGTTATCATCAAAATAATGAATAAAGACGTTTACTATTAATCACTGATTGTAGAAACTGTTAGCTAGATAAAAATGTTACCATTTATTTCATGTTCATACTTTACGATATGTACCGTATATACGGTAGTGGTAATTAACATGATTGTTTTGTTTCACATAACAATAGCCCACTAATAGGTTAATTCTATGTTCTGTTACTTTATGTATAAATCCATTGTTGTATAAAATATGGTATCTAAATTTAAATAAAATTTTCATACCATTGATTGATAGTTTATATACAAATCCATTGTTGTATAAAATAAGATTCAATAAATTCCTCATACCATTGATGCGCATTACATTCGCCGACAAACAATTTTTTATTATTTAAAGTTTTAAAATGGGGATGCGCATTAGATTCGATGGCGCATTAGATTCGCATAAATACGGTATGTGTATGGGATATCGGGATTATGAGTTTATTTCTGCAGAGGGTCTGTTATCGATTTCGCGGGAAATCTGTTGGCTCCATTTCGATTTTAGGTCGCCAAGGGCAAATTCAGTAACGCTAGCCGAGAAAAAGTGAAGTTCGGAAATACGTTTTGAAGCTTCAATAGAGAATTAAGTATTTGGTTTAAACCTATGTTGTTGATAGAAATGCATAATTTTTGCTAATGCAATACAATTATTAGTTGAAAATAACTTATTAATTAAAATTTTTTTAATACTTTTAAAGCTGAAAACAACTAATTGAAACTAATTTTCCTGAATTAACTAGACGCAAAATTAACTTTCATGAATTACTAAAGTTATTGGGTAGAAGTTTAACTGAAAATATACTTTCCGTATTATATATATATACAGTACAAAGTCTGAGGTCTGGACTCGTCGGGACTTCGGCTATCCCAGATTTGAGATTTTTCCGGTTATTAGATCATTTTAAATCTACTAAGATGGCACGTAGAAATTATGAAATTGTGATTTATGAAATAATGAAGCATTTATGATTTAAAGGGTATCAAAATTTACAAAAGAAAAGAGCTTAATATTTATATGTTTACTTTACTAAACATTTCTTTCAATGTGAGTTGTTTGATTTGTTTTCTCTTCTAATACTTTAGACTAATACTATAGACATATAATTTCTTGTTCAGGTATTAAGTTCCATTGTTCAAGTCCTGTAATTGCTGTGTCGAGAATTCCGAATAACTTGTCAATCAAAATTTTTTCTCGTTCAGTAACCTCTCTGTTACTTTCTTCACTATCGGTAGCTGTATTTTCTGGATTTAGAATCATACTACAGATTTCGCCCTCCGTTAATTGATTGATGATTGGGCATTGTCATCGCAATGAAAAACTTCTGTTTCACTTCGCTAAATTCTGCCGCCTGGTGCGGCCATGCGAGATCTGGTGCTGATTCTGGCTTTATGTGAATAACAAATCAGTTATTCTTAATTCAAATAGCACTAAATATAATCATTTGTCCTATGAGTATCATTAACAAAATCTATTTTTAGCATAAGGAAAGAAATTTCTGCTAAATCTCCCCTTGTCAACATTTTAGCGCATTAAACTTAAATCTGTAATCGGATAATACTCTGTTATTTGGCGTCGCTGCATGATTCATCACTCAAGTTGTCATCTGTTGATAAACATGCGGTGATGAAAGCAAAATACAATAAATAATGATTCGCGATTTCGGCATCAAGGATATAAAATATTAGTTGGTGTAAAATTAACAAATGTTTCGTTTTGAGATTATGCCAAGCAGATACGCAGCTATGGAGTCAAGTTACTAATCACACAAATTTATGCTAAAATAATTATTTCTTCAATAATGAGATATTTTATTTAGCGCCAAACTGAGATTAAGAATCGGGATTTCCGACATGTTTTTTTATGATGAGGAAAAAAATCTAATGCGCGTGCGTAAAGCATACCCCTTCCCTTCCAAAAAAGCCCTAAAAAATTGGTTGGTGTGGTGGCTTTGAGGTCTGGATTTTAGATCATTCCAGATATTGGATGTCCTGGATCTCGGACTTTGTACTGTATATATGTATATGTACTGTATACATATATATATATACATCTTTCAAAATATAACTTACCAGTATGGATTTACCTATTTCAAATATAAACTTAGGAGATAATGTAATCAATTAATCAATATTGTTTAGAAAATAAATTATGTATATATATATATATATATATATATATATAGTAAAAAAATGTATATTTTCACTATTCAAGTATTCACTGTGGACAAGTATTCTTATCTTGTCACATGAACAGGCCTCTGTGGAAAGGGGCTTCTCTGTAAATAAAGCAATTGAAATTGAAAATTTAAGTGACTCATCATACATTTTTTCAACGTACAGTATTTGATTACATAAAATTTTCTGGAGGTGTTCTTAATATCGAAACTAATAAAGAAATGAGATCAGCAGCAGCTTCTGCAAGAAGTGGAGTTCGTTATTTAGAAGTTCAGTATTTAGAAGAACAAAAATCTTTAACTAAATCTGAAAATTTCAAATAGGAAAAGAAAAATATTATTGAGGAAGAAATTGATTATATGAAGCAGAAGAAAAAATTTCTTCAAAGGGACATTAAAGATATTAATGAAGAAGTAGATGCTTTAGCAGATGAAGCTGAGACCAGCAGGAACATTGATTTGTTTATCAAAGCAAATGAACTTAGAAGAATAGTTAAAGAAAAGAAAATAGACATAAATAAATTAGATGTTAAAATAGCTTAAAAGATTTCAGATTTAAAAAAAAGCACAAATGTTTTGTATCTTTTATTGTACAGTTTATTATTCTAGTATCTTTCAAAAAACCAAGGAAAATCAGTTATTTTAATCTGCAAAATATTCTTACATTGTGATTATAATACTAGGTGACTGTGTTTCAATAAATATCAAATAAGTTAAATAATAATCATGTAAACCTCTAAAATAGTGACTGTTATTAGTGTAAAATGCACTTATACATGTTTTCAAGAAATTATGTTCCTAATTTAATGTTATCTACTTCATAACTTGTAGGGAGTTAGTTTAATTTTCAAAATTGTTTTATGGTAAGTATTAAATTGAATTTAATAATAGTGCATAATACACACTTCTGTTAGTTTCTTAAAGTGAAATTACAAGCATGAAGTCGGTTGTATGGATAATTGCTTTATTCTCTTCATTTTTTTGTTTGCTGATAGGTCCTTAATTTTTTCTTTGATGCTCCTTAAAAGTCCTTAATTTTCATGTAAAGAAATGTGTACGAACCCTGAGATCAAAAGAAAAAAAAAACTGCCATACAAGTAGGTTTATTGATCGATCCTTAGGATAAATAACCTATTTCAAATATAAAATATGTATTTATTGATATGCCAAGGTAGTTGTGCTAATACTTGAGTACCTGAAATATTTAGTCTATCTCAGCGGTTCGCAACCTTTTGACTAATGCGTACCATCTAAACAAAAATTGAAAACCTTTAGTACCACCACTACCACTCTTGAACAAGTACTACTACCACCACCACTCTTGAACAAAGCTCAGATCGCATAAATTTACGAGCGTTAGAGAAAAAACTCAATCAGGGTATTGGGGTTTTAATTCTTGAATTTAATAGTTAAAAATGCTTTGCTTCTTTACATACCACCTATTTTTCTTTTGTGTACCACCAGTGGTACATGTACCATTGATGGTACCACTGGTTGTGAACCCCTTCTCTATCTGATTGTTCTTGAACTGTGTAACATAGATTTTTCAGATTTTCAGGATGGTCTTCCAGTGTGGGTATCGTTTTTTAGGCTGAAATTTATGCACTTTTTGAATCAACTTCAAACTTTGTCATGAGAAGCAGTACTTTGTTCATATATAGCACAAATTTTACTAACAGTCTGACTAGCATTTTTTTCTTTTTTTTTAAATAAAAGAGTATATATAATATGATGAAAATGAACTTTTGGGTTCTCAGCATTGCAATGAAAAAAAAAAAAAAAAAAAAAAATTCAGCATGAGTAGAAAAGACTTATTTACTCATCTGCTTAAATCACAGTTGCTCCTCATCAGCACTAACAAAATCATTACAAGAAAATGCACTTTAATTTGAAAAATCACAGAAATTTTTGGATGACCCTATATTTGAAAGTTTTTTTTTTTTTTTTTTTTTTTTTACTATTTTTATTGTGTACAGCTTCTGAAATAGAAAAAAAAATTCACAGGCTGAAGCAGATGATCGAGGTAGAGATTCCTTTGGAGATGCTTACAAGATGGCATTTATTGTAAATATGAGTTTGGACATGGGTACAGGAAAATTGGCATCTCAAGTAGCACATGCAGCAATAGGAATGCATCGCTTATTACTACAAAATGAAAATAAATATGGTGAAATGGTTCTTCAGTGGTCAGAAGATGGGTAAGTTATTTTCTGTATAATCTTTATTCTGAAAGTTAGAAGAAAGGTGGCTGCAGGCTTTATTTCTTTGAATGTTGTTCTTAAATATGCACTTTCATATACAGAATTTGTCAAAATGAGGTAGATGATTTTATGAGCTTGAAAGCTGCTTGGCATGATATTGTCTCTCGCAAACAATTACCATATTGGTAACTAATGCTAAGACGATTCTTTTCACGTTGTGGGTAATGCATATGAGGAAGGAGGGGGGTTGTTGTCAAATCACAACATTTATTGTTGTGTTTTGACTAACCACATAGCAGATGTTTTGCTAACCATTGCAGTTGATTTTAGTCAAATAAAATATGCTATGTGTGCATTTGTCACATAGCTGTTTTTATTTGACAGTATTCTGGCTGATGCACATAGCATATTTTTTTTTAGTTACCACAGTTAATTGCAAATGCTTAGAGTCCCATTGCAGTCTTTTTATATGAAAATTTGGTTAGTAAACTAGTCATAATAGTCAAAATCTCCAAAAAGGGTACATAGCAGATATTGGTTTGACAGTGATATTCTAATATGTACACAAAATTTTAATACTTTAATTATGTATAGAAAGAGACATTTCTACTTTGTTTCAAAATTTTCCAGATGAATTTCATTTATCTATTCTGAATTTATGTATTGATTATAAACATCATCAACAGCTGTCATTTACAAAGGATCATCTAATTTCTGGTTAAATTTAATGGTACTTACGAATTAATGCCATCACCTTAGTAGATGTCAGATACTTTCAGAACGTGCCAAACTCTGGCAGCCATGCATATGACAGTCCTTCAGTCGAGCAATGCTGCTATTTTTGTATGCATTCTCTTTTGTTGTATTTCAAAGTTCCAATTGTTTTTATAAACAAATCATGATATTTTTTGCCGTAAACTTAGTTTTAAAATACAAGCTTGTGGAATTTGCCAGCAATGGAAGAAACTGCGGTAAAATTTCTGCAAGAATACAGAATATTGCTGAAAATTTTGTAAAGAAAACGATGAGGAAATGTGTTTTCTTGATAGCCATTATTGCCAAGGGTTTACCAATACGGAAACAGGTCGTTGTGTACTTTGGGAGAAGAATAGTGGGGGGGGGGGGAAAGATTTTGAAAAAGAATCAAGTGTTTTATTTTTTAATATATCATTAATTTTTTATTTAATAATTCAAATTTGTATTCTAAATTGCTAAAGTATGTTTTCTTTTCATATGTTGATAAGGTTTACCAGCTTATGATAAATATTGATAGTTTTAAAATCTTTCTAAAAAACAAACCAGGAAAACCACCCACTTCTGCCCAATAAGTAACTTTTACCTTTTCATGTGGACAAAATCGCCAAATTGCACCAATGTGTTAATACATAAGTATGAATTTAACACCTACTAAAGCTGGGTTAAAGATAGGTTTGTGAAAAACCAGGCGCTCACATCCTTTTACATCATGGATCATTAACGGTTTTCACATATCTTTTTATGTAATGCTGTTGTAATTCTGGAACAAGCCGAGCAGTAAATTTATTAATAATATGCTATTCTTTACAATGCTGGAAACCCTTGAAGTTTCAAAATGGTAATGCAATAACAATGGTCGTTTGTTAGTATGCTTCTTCTATTACAGTTTCACGAAGTCATTAACTATACGAATGCGAAGTTCGAAAGGCGAAGACAACAACTGACGATTCTTGTACGAATGCTATTTTTGTTTCAACAAGTTTGCATCAGTGGTAATTTTATTTCGATTTGGTATACAAAAATACATGACAACATCTTTCATTTATATTTAATGAAAACACCAAAATATATTACAGTAATACAAACACATCGCAACGGCGAACCGACAATTACATAATGTAAACACACAGAAGAATTCTTTTGGCGCAACAGCCTCCTCTATACTATGAAAAGTTCTAACGCACCCCACCTGTGCTCTGTTAAGCGTACACATCAATAATAAATGTGGATATAATCGCAAATCAATATACACGAATGAATACTTAAAACTACATTGCAAATTAATACAATATATGACACAAACATATATTATACATAACTTTAAACTTCAAAAGGATAGATCAATTGGACGGGTGTTCGATAAAGTCCTTGAGAAGTACGAATCAAACATGAATGCACATACCCATCCCTACCTTTATAAACTTCTTCTATAATTCAAATAGGCCATAAAAATTTTGATTTCGTCGACCCTTCCAGCAATACAACCTCACTCTTTTTAAGATTCCTTTCAGGAGATGGATTTAGAAAAGTTTTCGAGGAGATAATTCTCCTTCCACTTTTTCCAAATTTGTTTGAAAAGATTAGTTGGATATAGTTTTCTCCTAGTCAAAATCTGCCTGTTCAATGGTTTATTCCTGAAAAGGTCGGCAAAATGTACAGGATAAGAAATAATATCTTGCCCTGGAAACAAGAAATGGGCAGGTGTGAGAGCTTGTGGCTCTTTTATTTCATTGTGGACATAAGTAAGAGGTCTATGATTTAGAACTAACTCAATTTCTGATACAATACAGTGAAATACCGAAAATCCGCCAACTCCTGAAATCCGTGTTGCCTCGCAGAATATAAACATTCAGTTTATAGGTTTCGGAAACCGCAGCATTGAGTATGAAATATCGAAGAAAAAATACTTACCGAATAATAATGAGTCAAAACAGAAATACCAAATTATTGATAAGAATATTTTTAGTTTCAGCCCTTTTTAATACAATGACAGATAAGAAACACACTTGTGATTTTACTGCTTTGCAACATTGAAAAACGTAAACACGTTGCATTGATAGTAACGCAAAAAGTGCAAATTATGCAAAAGATGGAAGCAGGTGCTACTGCTCAATTTATAGCAGGTGCTATAGCTCGATTTTTAGGAATTGTGACACAATTGTGTATGATATACGAAAAAATAAAGAAAAGAGCAACAGTGATTCTAACACCGAAATCCCAAACTGGAAATCTTTGCATAAGGCGAAATCGGCAAACCTCGATGCTGTGTACATATAATACAATGAATAATATAATCAATTTATATATGTAATAATAATTTAATGCATATAATAAATTATTGCAATAATGTATATAATAACTTAATTAGATGTATCTAATACGCCTTATTTATTTTGCACTTTTAGTCCGAATATTATGCATCTTTTTTGTCTTGAAATCTGCAAAATCCTAAAATCCGCACAACCTCTAGTCCCAAGCTTTGCGGATTTCTGGAATTCTACTGTAGTCATCATTTCCTCAAAGTTAAGAAGAGCCCTTTTGAGAACCTTTCTCAAAGGATCTTTGATATTTTTCACAAGCCTTTCATAAAAACCACCCCACTAAGGCACGTAAAGTAGCATTGAGGTGATGGTATAAAGGGCGTAAGTGATTTAAGCCGAGTCGTGTTTCCAAGCAAACAGTCTGCACTACGTCACAAAATCTGGTTTAGTGCTCTGCGGGGACTAATCAGAGTGAACGCACGTAACCTGAATGGGAAAACAGAGCGGGAAAGCTGTAGCCACATTCACGCACGTTCAAATTTAGCTTCTCTAAGTGGGTGCGGCTTAGACCCTGTGTCACAGGTGTGAAAGAAATTCTCACATTTTTTTCCTTTATGACAATGTCTATGTGACATTTACATCGTAATCTGAACGCAGCTTAAGACACAATATATTGCCAGGTTATGGGCCATTTATTGATATGAAATCTTTTAATTTTGAATCTATTTTAATTTTTGAAAATGCTTTAAGAATTTCATTAGTGGCTCTAAAGTTTTTAGCATTGTCGGAAATGATAACTTTGCAATTTCCTCTCCTAGCTAAAAATCTCCTTAATGACAAAATAAAATTTTTTGTTGACATATTTGTGATTAATTCTATGTGCACAGCTCTAGTCACACTGCATGTAAATAATGTTATGCAAGCCTTTCCTGATTTTATTAAAACCGGGCCAGTGAAATCGATGCTAGTTACAGTAAAAGGAGGATTTTAGTAATTCTCTTTTTTGGTAGTTGACTAGTTATTTGCTTAGCTGGTTTCAACTTATACTTTTGACAAATTAGGCAGTTACCTAATACTCTTTTTATAATTTGTCTACCTCGTGGAATCCAAAATCTAGACCTAATTTTCGTGAGCATAAATGTCATTCCACCATGAAAAATTTTATTATGCTCTCGAATAATAATTAGCTTTGTAAATTTAGACTGCTTTGGAAAAAGCACAGGGTGAGCTTCATCCTTTGTAAATGTTCCTTCTTCTAATCTTCCTTTTCTGTGCAATATACCACAATTGTCAAAAAATGGGGCTAAATTCGAAAGTGTATAGTCTTTTAGGAATCGACTTACCATTTTTAATGTTCTGTAATTCTAAGTTAAAATCAATGTTTTGCTCATGTTTTATACAGTCTACTTCAGCATTTTGAAGTTCTACTGTGAGGGGACCTGCATTCATTTGTCGTTTTTGAAGTTTATTAACAAACCGTTTAACTAGTGCAGTTACTCTTAGTACTTTTAACAAATAACTATATTTCCTTAACTATAAAATAAATTTCAAATTTTCTACCAAACACTTATTTTGCACTGTTCTTTCAAATTCTATTTTTAACTTTAAGTCCACGTCTGTAGATTTTAAGTTCTCCCTTTCAGTAGGCCAGTATTCAAGTGATTGGCTTAGCCACAGTGAACCGTGCCACCAAAGCTGGTTTTTAGCGAAATTTGCTGCAGAAATTCTTCTGGAGAAGATATCTGCAGCGTTATGCTTGCCAGAGCAATGAGCCCAATTATTGGTATCTGATAAAGATTGAATTTCTTCTATTTTATTTTTTTACTAAAGTTTTGTATTTACTAGATTGTTCCTTAATCCAATATAACATAATCATCGAGTCGGTCCAAAAATAACTAGAAGTATTAAATTTAAGACGTTTACTTACTTGATGGACTAATCTTGCAGACAATAAAGCTCCCATTAATTCCAGTCTTGGTA